ATAGATGGCAATGTGAACCCCTGATGCTATAGTAACATATTGATAAACGTATATATATATATATATATATATATATATATATATATAACATGTATTGATCGACACTCATAGGGGATATATTAATTAGACAGCGTGAAAAAAATAATAAAGATTACAAAAAAGAGGTCGGGGTTTGAGGGGGGAGGGGTGTGGAGATAGAAAGTGTGTGAGAGAGAAATAGATATATAAAGATATTACAGTTAATAGAAAGAAACAGGTTGCACGAGGAAAAATAATGGTTTAACTGAGAAACGTGGTAGATTTAGAGACAGAAAGAAATCGAGAGAGAAGTGATGACATAAGCCACTACACGCTGAGAGAGATAGTGAAGAGACGATCTGGATAGTTTGATGTGCTATAATGATAATCTGTCGACTAGTTAAATAGAGAGAAAGATTGACGTACATGCAGAATCAGAGATAGAAAGAAAAAAACGTTAGTGGAAAATAAGACAAAGTAGGCGCACAAAAAACATGTGCACGCACGCAGTGAGAGAGAAAGAGAGAGAGAGAGAGAGCGCTTAAAAGAGTGAACTGCCTTGAGCAAGTACAAAGCTAGAAGAAAAAAAAAAAAAAGCAATGTCTGGTTGCGAGGGCCACAGGACAAACGAGAAAAGATCGATGGAATTGACATCAGCAACCGAAATACCCCGTCAGCTTCCTGCATTAATCTTATGTTGACACTGCAATCGACGCCGAAGTCCCCGGATCGAAATTACATACAGGAGCCATTTTTTGTATGCGCCCCCCTTCCATTCTCTCTTTTACTTCTTTAATAGTTATCCTTTTATTTTGAGACCACACTGTCTTTTTTTCTTCTTCTGAGTTCGAGGTTTCTTTGTATATTTTTTTTTTCTCAACCGAAACTGGTTGCGGTATGTACATATAATTTGTATAAATGTCCATATTTATTTCGCTTTCCAAGGTCGTCCTTTATTTTACCCCCATCTTGGCCCGTTTGCTGGTCTTGTCGACTTGTTTTTATTTTTAATTGGTTCATTCTCACACGCCTGGTTGTTGTTTTTATATTAATTGTATTAGTCAACCTTACAATGGATGTAAATCCATTATTCTATGAGAAGCTTTATAAGAAGTTTCTGTTTTGCTTTCTTTCCTGGAAAGGGGGGGGGGGGGGGGGGTCCCCCCAGTGCTCCATTGCTGGAGTTACGTACGAAGTTCTTCCTTTGTAAACTGGTTGTAGGTATCTTAGTTTATGTGAAAGCATTACTCTACGGCAGTATTTGCATTCTGCTTCCTGTCACCTTTAGGGACTAAATATTTGAACCCATCGGTCAACCAGATGCCGTCCTTACCATATACCATACAAGTTGGCCTCAGTAAATCTCTGTTGGCTGTCCTAGTTAGGCACTCTGTGAGACCTCTGTCCGGCCATCTCTTGTGGCTGTTTGTTCTCTTACTCGTACACCATCCAATTTCTCCATTTGGGACCAGTATTAAAAGCAAGAGCACTAATAGAAAACCCTACATTGACTAATGTTTCTTTTCGTCCTTCTTAGGACGTTATTTTTTGTTATTTGAAGCCCCACTCTGGCTTTTGCCAGGGGCCGCAATATAGGCAGGTCATCAATATGGCCAAATGTCTGAACGCGGTTTCTGAGACCTCTCCACGGTGATCCTCATCCGCATGGTGGCACTCTGTGTCATCGGGTGTTTATCGCTTGTGTGATGTCCTGGTGGGGTAAAAAATCCAATCCAATCCAATAGAAAACCCTTTGTTGAATTGGCATAAGTCGCGATTAACACTAGTTGCCTTATCCATTGGATACTGTCACTGGTAAATCTGAAACCAGATATGAACTCGGCTTTACATAACGAAGTTGGAAGCCTATGCTCTCTATTGGAAGATCAAAGGCAGAAGTTAAACTGTCAGATTCGCTTATAAAGTCCGTGTTATGGCTGTTCGTACCCCGATCCATTTCCAGACGCTGCTGCAGTCCCTACATATTTGACTTTGCCCGTTGAATGTCATTGATATCTTTTTTTTTAAAGGGTTCCATCTTACACCCGCCAAACTTAACACGCGTGGGGTGTGTGATGTATGTTGTCTGCAGGCTATGAAGGCCAAAGTAAGGCAAGCTTGGCACCTACCGGCCTGGGCGGGAACATTAAGACAGCACGCACACACAGACGCCGCTTTCTAATCTCAGAGATAACACGAAGCTTGTTCTAAATTTACCTGCGCCTGGAGTGCAAACAACGTTTGGTGCTGGCAAGATTCGGCTTCACCTTGGCCACTGTTCCCCAAACTGGGCTGTAGCGCCACACGGGGCCGATGGAACATCCCCGGGGTGTATCATAAGGTTCCCAATTGGGAGGAGTGATGGTGTGAGTTGCTAGGAAAAATAAAGTGCTGGTGGAATTAAAAAAAAACTAGAAACGGTTGAGTTGATTCAACAACCAACAGCACAGTACTCGGGGCATTCAAATAAGCGCTGCGTCGCCATCTTCGGCAGCAGACACAGTTAGTAGTTACAGTACCACTCTGATATTAGAAACGGTATCCGAGAGTTGTAAGACCTGCCCCACAGAAGTAAGAAAGATGCAGATTTCTAGATATTGCAGAACACAGTGTAGTCTAGGTCTTTATTAATGGCACGTTACCTTGTTTTGTAAATTCCATCCAACCATCTCTTGATGTGTTCCCTTTCCGTTTCCTGATGAGCTCGCGCATTATGCGAGCTTGGGGTTGGTTTTTGGGAAAACTTTGAGTTAAATGCTCAGTCATTTGATGTTTGATACAATTGTTAGTAGCTTAACCCCCCCCCCCTTTTTTTTTCCCCTTTCATTTAATTTGTTATGCCCTTACACCCTTAAAAAAAATTGTGGTTGCTAATGTAATGTTTTTATGGCTAGCATCTTTGAAAAGTTTTAAGCTTCAGCATGTCTCTCCCATTCGTTTTTTTTACCAAACACGTATTTCGGAATTACCGAAAATAGATGCAATAGACTACATTAGATTGGGAACCCCTTATTTTGTGCAGGAGGTGACTACCACTTGAACACAGGAGCAAGTGGGGGGGGGGGGGGTTGTACTAGGTGTATTTTTCACAACAAGGAGGTATTCTAAATTTAGACCTGCCATGGGAACGAATATCAGCTTGTATATATTTGTACCAAAGGGAGACCCACTGGTGTAGCGGCTAGACACTCGCTTGCAGATCTAAAGGGTGTGGATTTGTCCCCCCCCCCCCCCCTGTTATTTCACCACACTTGTTTCAAGGTTTGGTAGGGATATCCTTAGACCGCCAGTAGTATGGGGGAGGTGGGGGGGGGGGGTGTTAGGTTTAAGCTGAATCGTAGTGGCTATTCATTTAACACTAACAACTCCTCTGTACTATGGAACGGTCTGGGGATTTCCTTACCTAATCTCGAAGCTGATGTGATAAAATAACAGAAAAGAACAGTGGATTAAAATCCACAACTTTGATGTGGACCTGGGTCCCAGGTAGATGTAGCCTTAAGTAAAGTCATGGAAAGTAAAGGCGTTGACCACATCATTCATTGAGAGCCGATTGGTCTATAGAATATCCAGCACACCTGAAGGCGTGGGAAAACTGTCCTTGATACGTACCAAACACCTAACGTTTCTTCATCCTTAACCCACATAGGACTGCGGCTAACACCTGGCTGGTCAACCTGGTACGTGTGTCCTAATTATAACTTTTTTAGGAGGTTGAACAGGGTATCTGGGATCTGCCTTGTTGGTCTGTGGATGGTATGGTAAACCTTTAGGTAGAAGCTAGGACGGGACAGACTGGCCGGTCAATCAATTTTCTTATTCACTGAATTTCTCCCCCCCCCCCCCCCCACCCCCCCCAACTCAGAAAATTCACAGAGCCAGGACGATCAGCTCTACAGGAGTGATGAAATACACAAACACACACATACATACCACTAATAAATAAATAGAAGAATTTACAGCACATTCTCACAAGTCTTTGTTCCTTCCTGGGACAAAGAGGTTTTTCTCATACTCATGTTCCCTTCCATCAGACTAATTAAAAGGACTTTGTATATTTAAGATAAATACTCTAGAAGATCTTTAGGGTCAGACAATACATGTTTGACATAATGGTAAATCTTATTCACCCTAGCGTTCACCAGCTGTAATTCTGGTCTTTGGTCTCATACTGGCTTATGCTTTTCAGGAACCGAGTGGATAAATCCCGTTTTCCCCCTCAAATAAGGCTTTGGAAATGACACGGGGAGTGGATAAATCCCGTCTTTCCCCTCAAACAAGGCTTTGGAACTGACACGGGGAGTGGATAAATCCCGTCTTTCCCCTCAAACAGGGCTTCGGAACTGACACTGGGATATTTTTAGATGTAAATCTTATTTTAGCATAACTGTATCAGTAACATATCTAATCTCCCCCGTGTGGGTTCCGGGGCTCCATAGATGGGGAAAACAAGAATAGACCCACTGCCTCCCCAAAAGCATTTCGTAAGAGTCGACTAATTGGGGAGCTTCCTTTGAAGTCGGAGTGTATCTGCCGGAGAGGCAAGGAACCAACAGTCTGTATTCAAGAGAATGAGATCTGTAAAACTGATGCACACGCAACACTCAGGTTCTGGAGCAGGACTGCAGTTCAGTAGTGGACGAACAACCAGAACTTTCCGACAGAGTGTACAGCTGGTGAACGCGAAGAAGAAGAAGATATCTAGTCTAAGCCTAACTTGAAGCCTGAAAATGAAAGAAACGTAAGGTTTGCCTGTTGATGAAAAGAATATATGGAAAAGTTATGAGTGGGTTGTTTTAATTTATTTCTTGCAGGTGTAATTTTTGATACTTTTATCACACATTGTGTTTTCTCTTTTTGTTAGCTATTGTAAGTAAGTTCATTGTTTCCTTGACAGTAACTTCAATTTTCACAACAATACTGCCATTTCACCTAAAACTTCACTGCAAAATAACTAATTTGTGACTGTCTCACCTCTACAGGTACGGAAAGATTCAGAGTGTGAAACTACAGACAGCCAAGGAGAATGACGCGGACAGTACTGCCACCGTGGCATTCAATGACATCAAGTCGGCGGCTAAGGCGCACCATGCCAAGAACAGTATCGGAGAGGTGACCTTGAGGACTGACTATTGGGAAGGCTCAACCGGCACTCCGGTGTTGGCCAGCACCCCAGTGGTAGGCAGCAATACTGTCCGGAGTGCCGTGTACACCAGCACAACCCCAGCCTCCTCCAGACTAGCATCCACCTTCTCCAGCTGGTCCAAGGGGTAAGGCCAATTTTAGTCTTTTTCTTTTGTTCTGACAGCTTACCATGCTTGCTGCTGCTCCGTCTGGCTCATTAGCTTGCATGTGCTTATTTTTTAAGAAGTATTTTTTACACCAGTTTTCTTCAATTAAAAAAAAAATATCTTGCAGACTGGCAAACCAGGTGGAATTGTTTCACGAACCACCTGACAGCTAACGTAACCCCTAGTCCCAGATGTTGATAGCTGTTTTTTTCGATCAGTCCGATATAATTTTTAGACCAAGTGATATTTCCTACTGCTTAGATCGTGTGAGATATGTCTCATGTAGAATTTTGCTTGCTTTTCAGTAATGTAGGACTGCTGTATGATTAGGCATACATTTTTAGCAGCCCACCCCTGGCATTTCTGTGTCCAACCACTTTTCCCGCAGTCTGCTTGTTGTAAAACACTGATTTACACCACTTCTGGCTGTCTCCCTGAACATTCTGTGTTGTTAAGGTATGTTGGTGTGTGCCTACTGTAGTGTTCCAGTAGGGCAGTGTCATACCACATCATGATATCAGCCAAAACCCCCACATCAGGGTGTTCATATGTACAGTGGTTGCCTAATGTGTTATTGTGTAAAAACATATACATTCACAGGGAATCATTAGCACAAGCAAGGGGATCAGTAATGATAAAGAGAAAGTTGACTCGGTCATATACATATACTAATTATGGGCAGGCAGGGGGTAAAGAAAAATAAGTGCACTGTACAGTGACATAATGGTTGTAAAGGAGAGGAATGTTGCTGACTGGTGAATGGCCTGGCATGTGTGATAGTGTGTTTACTGTTTGAGAGTATCACATAAGGATGGTTAAAAAAAGTTAAATATACAGAAATGTGAACGTATAGCAGAAAAACTACGCTTGTTGCTTATGTTCAGTACAGCATCGTATCATTGTTGGCATCTGCTTTGGGAGTTTGCCTGGTTGAGTTGACATCACATATACAGTTTCACGCACACACTGGATATCGTAGACTAGCTGTAAGCAACAGTGTCAGTGGCTCTTTTAAGGGTTATGAATGTTAAAGGGAACTGGCCACTCATATGCTCTCAACTATTGACATTTAGTGAAAACTAAACACATTCATATAGATGATTGGATGTGATGCAAAGCTCATATTGTTACACAGCTTTTACTAGAATGTTAATGTGGTCAGTTAAAGGCAAAAAGATCAAATTCAGTGCACTGGGGTTTTATCCTTATATCTGTACGGCTCGGTTTCTCTCTGCACAACAGCTAGCCGCCTTCTGAGAGTGGTGTACAGATAACGAATCCCATAATTCTTTCAATGATGCAACTGTGAAATAACCCTGTGACCTTCAGCGCGTGAGGCAGATGGCTTGATCACTTTGTCAGAGAGATCCGCTGTAGCACGCAGTTCTAAATTTCCACCTTTGGCTTGTAAATTTTCTTGGTTTTAGATAGCTGGATTGCTGTGGCTGAGGAGGCATGTGGTAGAAATAAATAAAATAAAAAAAACATGCTTTGAAACCAGTCATTGGGATGATGGGCAAGCTAGCTACAACACTTTTGTAACTTCTAAATATAGTACAGTTTAGGGTCTGTGTCCAGCTGTCTGCCTCTCCCTCATTGCTTTAATGCTCTTTGCAATTTTTCACGCAAATGCCTGGAGATCATCACTGTAGCTGAGGGGTTAATGAATTTTGTGACTCTGCAGGCGGATAGCTATTCAGCAAAAGGTACGAGCCATGTGAGACAAAACCGCACGGTAAAATGGATCCTTTCACATGATGGCACATGTTACTGCTGCGAATTCCAAGGTTTTAAAAATTAACCAACCTTTTCTCAATTTAGACTAGAGCAAAACTGTGAAATTGGTGAATGCAGTAATATTTACCATGAGAAGTCCAAGGATTGTCACTATTTCATGCAGTGTAGTAAACTATTGGGTGTTTTTCATCTGGTGTTCATTAAATATTTTTTCTTACACATACAACTTATCCTCACAGAATTGTATTTTCTTTGCGAGTTACTATCATCTACAGTCTTTGTTTGTCTTTAATCAGTCTTTCATCTTGGCCTGTGTTGTTCTGATTGTCAGTACAGTTAATTTTTGTCTTTTCTCAAATTCTAGTCTCATTAGTATGCGAGTTTATCGTACTAGTTCTTTGCAGAAAATCACTATCCTCACAGCTTCCTGAAACATAACATAACCTCCCTTGACCCATTTGGTTGTACAGATGTATTGAAGGAAGCTCTAGCACATAAAACCTGCCAACTTTCTGTTTTCCGCTTGATGAATAAGTGTATAATAACTTAGTCCTGTCCATTTCTTGATGTTATCATTCCAGGTTCTTCTTTGACTACCCCACAATGTTCCTTGAAGTACACTTTGCAATCAAATCATGTCTTACTACCTGCTGAAACCAAGCTAGCTTGCTATACTTCACCACTGCCAAGAGAGGCTCCCGATATCCCACAAATTTGTCTTTTTCGTCTCTGGCATATTTATTAGTTATGTGTTCTAAATAACTAATTTGTAAAATGTGTCAATAACATTTACATTCGAAAGCCTGAATATTCCTTTCCATTTCCACAGTGAGTCCAACTCTCACATCCATTTAAGAAAATAAACAATACCAGTGATTTGTAAATATTGACCTTGATTGCGATGCTGAATTTGCTCTTCCACGTTGTATTCAGCTGCGACATTGCGGCTGTTGCCATATCAAGTCCTGAAAAATGTACTTGTCTCCTACCTTGAACATCTTCAGGCTGTTACGGATTGTGTGTTCAGGGTGTTGAGAAAAATCCTTTGCTTGCAGTCCGTGTAGGTCAAACCTTGTCTTGCTTTCCTGGCATCATCCAGCCATTGCTCTTGTTTGTAATAATTCACTGTGTCATTGAGCCATAGATATGTACACTTGACTTCATCAAGGCTATTCAACTGGCAACCTGTAGGCCGAATCTGATCCACAGATCACCTGCCAGTTGTATTGTATTATCTTTCTCTGGCCTGCCAAGATCCCCATTTCCCAACATTTTGGCCTCTTAGTGAACTTAGTTTTAGTTGAATGGCGGTTTTACTTGGCGCAGTGTAATTAATTAATTATATATATATATATATATATATATATATATATATATATATATATATGTATGTAATATATATATGTATATGTTATACATATTTCTTTGTAAAATAAAATTAATGGTTTTGTATCCGTTTGTCTAAGTCACACTGACTGGTGTCATAGCTGTGTGAAGTAAATTGCCAGTCTAATTTGGACTCACAAGTGCTTATGGAATTGGCCTGAATGTTGTGTCATTTCAAATTCAGGGCTTCTCAAGTTATGTCAGTTGGTTTCAAATCAGATAATGGTTAAGTTTTATTGCCCCCATGTGTGTGTCCTGGGATCCCATTTGGTTGGAGATTTTGCGGGTGAGGAAAGCCCCTTAATATGTATGTCTTAGAATCAAATCAAACGTATTAAGGTTTCACCTAAATTTGTTCTGGCCAGAAAGGTGCAGGTATTGCTGCTGAGCTGTAAACCACTTTTTAAGGCCAGATACAGAATATCTTCTTCTTCTTCTTCGCGTTCACCAGCTGTCAACTCCGGCAGAAAGTTCTGGTTGTTCGTCCGCTTCTAGACTACAGTCCTGTTCCAGAACCTGAGTGCACCCGTTTTACAGATCTGACTCATTTGTATGCAGACTGCTGGTTCCTTGCCTCTCGGGCAGGTGCACTCCGTCTTCAAAGGAAGCTCCTAATTAGTCGACTCTAGCGACATGCTTTTGGGTCGGCAGTGGGTCTGTTCTTGTTTTCCCTATAATGGGGCCCCGGAACCCACACGGGTAATACAGAATATGAAATTTCAGATGTAATCATGGCCAAATTATAAGGATTGGTTCATGTTAGGTTTAGCATGTTAGAGATATCCACAGCCACATATTTGTAAATTCAGCCCACACTAACAGTTGCACCTGGCAGTTTGAGATGCAGCACCGCTTTCTGCTGTTGTCCCATTCTCACGCTTTCTCACTTTCACACACGCTGCCATTTTTAATGCATGTTTTCTCCCTATGCTTTTTTTTTTTACATTTAATGAACTCCCACATATTTTTGCTGTGATATGCATATGGTTGTCATTTTCCCCTCACATGATTTTACTAGTTAACTATCTCATATAAGCCTCATTTTCTCAAACTATTTTCCTGAAATCTGATAAATTATACAATTTTGTTCCTTATTTCATAAGAGATATTATTTTTTCTCATTTAAAAAATACACTGCCACATCTCACAAATTATATATTTTGTCTTAAAATAATTTTGTCATATTCTTTTTGTAATACATAATGCTCATTAAATAATACCTGTTCTCCCTGTGTAATTATTATTTATTTTCCTCTACAGCTGTACACATTTCCCCTTATTCGCAAAATATGCTGTATCCCTTCTATCCAATATCCCTTATGATTTTCATATATAACGTTCTCATAATACATAAATATACTTTTAGTTTTAACCTTTTTTCATATAATGAAGTTATACTTTTAGTTTTAACCGTTCTTATATAATGACATTTCATTGTCATTTCCTTAAAATTGTCACTTTCTTTCACATTTTCCCATAGCTATGTTTCATCTGAACACTTTTGCTTTGCATATTATTAACTTGATATGTATCAGCTTGATTCCCTGGCATATGCTCATGCAGTTACTTGTATCATCACTTAGCCTGTATCACAGCTTTTCTGGCACCCACTGTTTTTCCTCCACTCATACCTGACATATCTGCACCCTCGCTATATCACTGTGTGTGCTAACAGTTTATTTATAGTAGCACTCATAAATTATCTTCATTTATAAGTGTTCAGACTCAGAAATGTGTATGGTTTTTGCAACTTATTTATTGAACTATTTGTTTCAAGCCTGTCCTGCTGAATTTTCAGTTATTTTCAGCCATGTGTGGCCAAATGGGATTATTTCATTGCCAGTTGCATTTCGGTA